CAGCCATGGCTGATGGGCAAAACATATCTGTTGTCCCAACCTGCCCCCCGGGGGGGGATTAGTGTCGAAATTCCTCCCCGTCTATATCTTTGCCCTCGTGCGATATTTGTTGAAATAACTCTCTGGCGTGATCTCGTTCCTTACGAGACTGTGAGAGTGCGGCTAATGGTCATCCGACGAATGAATGTCGTATGCTATGATGGGCCGCACGCCGCTGCGGAGCTGTAGGATGCAACACACACATGCCGCCACTCGTGGTATGCTAGTGCGAACCCCGGTTGGCAAGACAAACACATGACATCTTGGGAACACGATGCACAAAAGCACGGCCGACAACTGCTGCATGCAGCCTCAACGCGTACTGGCGGTGGTCTTCCAGTTATATCCCCCGAGGACACCACGAATTGCAAGGTGCTGGAGGTAGCGAGCGATGGTCATTGCGCTCTGCACCGCATCTACAGGCTGCTGCACCCCGAGCGAGATAGCGTCTTCGGTGCACTAGCAAGCGAGACAACACAGACCCGCAAAGACGTCGTCCTCGAAATGATAGCTGCTGTTTTCTCTGAGGACTACGAGCAGCTAGTGGNTCCAGTTATATCCCCCGAGGACACCACGAATTGCAAGGTGCTGGAGGTAGCGAGCGATGGTCATTGCGCTCTGCACCGCATCTACAGGCTGCTGCACCCCGAGCGAGATAGCGTCTTCGGTGCACTAGCAAGCGAGACAACACAGACCCGCAAAGACGTCGTCCTCGAAATGATAGCTGCTGTTTTCTCTGAGGACTACGAGCAGCTAGTGGACAACACGGTGGTGTCTGGCGAGGAAATGCTGAGACTTGGCAAGCTCGGCTACGAGAGGGGTTTCTACCGAAAGCGCACCCCCTCCGCCGGCCGAGCTGCTAGCGCTGTAAGACCCAAACCACTGAAGACTATGCGACAGGTGGTGGCGGGCATCGATGATCAACTGGAGCACGATTACTTGGCAGTAGGTCAGCTAGCGTTAGTAGCTGCGGTGAAACGTTGCAATATCGCGGTCTGGGAAGCAAAAACTGGAGGTGGACTTCGAATCGTGGAAATAGGCGACATCACGGGCATTTTCGTTGGCGATCTTAACCGGGATGAGTATCTGCACCTGGTGTACAATTACTTCGGGGGCTACAAAGCAGCTACGTATGCTGCGGGGACGGCTACAGTGCGCACCCCAACCAGCAGCAACGTGGCGGAAAGAAAACTCAACCACTTGAGCGCCATCGTTATCCCACAAGAATCCGTCCCATGGGCAAAGCCGTACATGCTTCAACGGCGATCCTCTGGTGGATCTGTCTTTGGGCACGAGAAACCTCCAGACAGTTTTTGCCCGTGCCCGACCACATCGGAAAAGTGTCCGATGAAACATCAGGGCTCTCCCGTGCCGATCGACGTGGATGACGAGACCGAGACAAGCAGCAGCGTGCGATCACGACCTTCTGCTGGAGGTTCCCGGCCCGTCAAAACGGCGTCACCCAGGGATGTACCGGAGCGGAAGGCAACGCCGCGCTGGGAAAGCGGTGATGAACCCCACGGTACTTCCTTCCGCCAGCGGCATATAACAACATATTCGCCTGATTGAGAGCGAAGTATCTGATTGAGAGCGAGAGCCAAAAAAATTGAAATTTCGGGTCCAGACGCCTCTTGCCATTTCTTGGCAAGTAGGGGACGGGCTATTCCAAGAAGCGGTGCAAATTGAAGGTCTCATCAGCAGCTTCGCGAGCATATGCGTGTCATCGTCATCGGATGCTGCAGCGAGGAGCTAGACAAGTTGCTAGATTTGCCCAGATTGGCTATTTCTGCTCAAACTGTTTCAGGGCGGTATCGCGTCGGGCGGTGGGCTCTGCTGTAGCTTCTGCTCCCCGCTGTAGCTCCACAACGAGAGACTCCCACAGGATGACCAGGGTAGCGGCTTGAAGCTACGGGCTAGCCCTTCAATTCAAGCTACACAGCAAGCTCCACCTCTCAGTGGTAGTCCGGCTACAGCGTATCGCGCAATCTCGCTCTCAATCAGATGCTACGCTCTCAATCAGGCGAATATGTTGTTATATTGGCAACAACCAGGTCGAAGGATAAGCCCATGCCGAAGGTGAAACCACTCGAGCTCTACAGCAGCAGCGGAAGATGCTGCGGGGTCGGAGACGCTAGAGGGAGGTGGTGCCGGCGTAGCTCCCTCAAAAATGAAGCGTGGAACGCGGGGGCGCCGCAGCACTTGCACTGCAAAATTCGCAAGCGGCCCTAAGCAAGGTGAGCCCTGTGGGGCCGAAGCGAAATCTCCCTGCGGTATATTCTGTAACAAGCACAGCCGGCAGGGTAGTCGGAGCCGTACGTGTGATAGGGGTGGACAAGGGGATGATGACGAAGAGTAGTTCGAATAGGAGCCTGAGGGGGACGACGACATGAGTGACGGCGGTAGTGAGGGCGAGTTTCCGGGGGACGCAGCAGACTACGACCAGGATGTATTCGTGAGTGGCAAGAGCCCTC